GCAATAAACCTATGATTAATTATTATCATTAGGAAAGATATTAAATTGTAATTTATAAATTACGTGTAGAAACCCGGTACTTCATAGTGCATGGGTAGTTTTAGAATTTTTTTAACGTCAATCGTCAATTGTCAGGTACTTATAAATTTCAATTGTGTTAGGTACGCTTTGCAGTCTATATTATGTTGTATGTATACTTATATAGGTACTGACTACTGGATGTAACATAAATACCTAGCTGACAAATGTGTTATTAACTAGGTATGCAATAACTTTTGTTTTTATAAATGTTAAGTTTTGTTTTAATAATATATAATTAACAATCGAATAATCTATATAAACTAAAACATAATAAAAACTTTTATTATGTCGGTCAGTTCATTGAGTTACAGCTTGTATATTATAACAGTAGGTATCTACTTTATAAAGAATGTATTTGTTGTCTGTCGGTAATGTTGTCTAAGTTGTTTAACCAGTTAGAATATCACTGACGGTAGGCATTGTTACTGAAGGTACCTAATAACAAACTATAAAATAAAAGAATTTAAAAAGTAAAAGTAAGATTTGCATGCAGTTTTCTTAAGTTGATTTTACTTTATTACATTGTAGAAACACCACATTCTAGTACGAATAACTTATAAGAAACCATGTGTTTAATTTGAATAATGTTATGCGGTTTTAACTACAAAATAATATACAAAAAAATGCATTATTGATTTTGTTCAATTTAATCAAAATCCTAACCTTAAACACTTATAAACAAAAATTGTATAACAAAAACTACTTATAGTGATGCGTATAGGTACCTACATATTTCCGTTTTCCTTAATACTTTTAGTTCAATGTAGGTAACCAACCGAATCAAATTTGCTACAAGAAACTACTCTCAAAGTTGAAGATTGAAAATATTTTTTTCTGCTCTAAAACGTGATGAGAACCCCAAGCCCCCCTTCCCCCGACAAAATATTAAAATAGCCACCCCTCAAGTTTAATGTTACATTTCTAATTATTATTGATTCTAGGTATAGGTATATCGAGTAGTAGTAGTGTAGTACCTATTTAATATTAATATAACTTATTATTTGACGATTAGCTAATGTTAAGTTTAACCATGTATTTTAACTAATGACTACATTTTGGACTTCAGGCCACCAATATACAAGTAGATTATCATAATTTATTTATTACATTCCATCAAAATCTAAATTTTTTTGGCGTAGTCTAATGAAAAGAAAAACTAACATTATCTATTCACTGTTGGCTTATAAAATAATTAAATATAACAGTGGTGATGCGAGAAGGTTACTATGAATATGTATTACAGCTAAAATGCAGTTGTGGTGGTTAGATAACTAGTATAGGTATTGAGAAAGTGAATTTGATACATTTCATAAATTATTTAATATTACCTATATATATATATATATATAATTGAGTGGGTAATTAAAATATTTTGTAATCTTTAAATCCAGCTGAGAAAAAAATCAAATATTTGTACAGGTTCCGAGAATTAAACACAAGTTTCTAGGTGAAAGCCAGCCGCCAGGTGTTCTACTATAACGACTAGGCAAGTATACCCATTATACCATGCCTGAGAGATATAAGATGAACAGTAAACACTAAACACTAAACACTGTATTAAATAAATTAAATTTTTTGTTATCCTCGTGTACCTCATAATACTCATGTAGTTAATCAATACTGCTTGGGAACACTACTTACCATTGGTATTTTTTATTTTTATTTATTCTATTATCAGAATACATAGGTACTACTCATGTGTCATTTTCATTAAAAATGGTCGTCTGCAGAGTGACTAATATTTCGAATTGGGAGATGATTGTATATTTTTAACCCAGATAATTTTCCAGTACCGTTGCTACAGCTATTATATATTACAAAATATATATCATAGATACGAAAAAAATAATAGATACAAATAGATATAATTCAATCTTTAGATCTTTAAGTGATCAAACGTTTTAAGAAACTTCTTTCGCTTAATAATAACCGATTCTTTATATTAATTTAATATTCTCGATTTAGTACGAAAAAAACTGTTTAAATTGCGTCACAAGATTACCTCGTGATCTTAGATAAATATAATATTCTGTATGTTAATATTATTTGTTCGAAGAAAGATAAGTTCAAAAATGTCATAGTTACAGTCAGTTAGTTAATAACTCGTTGTATCAATTAATTAATTTTATATATTTATATTCAAGTCCCTTCCTACCATAACGATTTCATTATAAAACAAAAGAAAAAAATATTTATTTTTTTTACAGCCACTATAATATGACATTGAATTAATATTGAATAAAATAATAAATAAGAAGGTATGGGAGATTGGGGTAAGACGAAGTCGTAATTAAGATGGAAATTGTAAATAGGTCAGTCGTAATATTAATATACTTGGTTATATATTAATTTTTTTTTAAGTGCAACTATATGTTATTTTGGTCTCTTTATATTTGTAATATATATAATTTTAGATTCTGAGCGGAGCGATTGTGTCTGTCATCACGTTTTAGGACAGTAAAAGTGCTTGGATTTTCTTCATCAGTAGCTTTTCTGATAGGAAAGTGAATCTAGTTGGTACTTTGGGGGGTCAAAAGTATAAATTTCCCAGTAGTTTTCACAAGCGCCCGGGAAAAACAACATAAAAAAAAAAAGGAAAAACGGGAATTTTTACGCAAAATTGGTTATCCAAAAAATTGATTTTGGTTATTGGTGTAACTCTAAAACAAATGAACGTATATACATGAAATTTTCACTGGTTGTTTATATTTGCATTTTCTATACACGATAACATTTTCAAAATATTTTGATTTATTTTGAACTGTTTAGAGGGACATTTTCATTTTCCATTTTTTTTTTAGTTTTTTTTCTAAAAATATCAATAAAATTTTATTTGTTGGTTGCAAAATCTTGAAAATTTAATAGAAGGCTCCTAATATATTGTTTCAAAGGCAGATGAAAAATATTAACAATTCTTAAGTCACAGTTTTTTTTTATAAGCATTTAAAGTTCAAAAATTGACAAAATATGGAAAAATCTAGAAAAATAGCAAATTATTTTGAGTTAAGAATTCGTAAAAATTTTTCTTTTTAAATCTAAGATTTGAAAATGAAACACAAGATTCCTTATAAGATTATCTACCTTTATCAATAAAAAAATCTCTACCGCACAGTCAAATTAAATTTTTATGAGCGTTTGAAATTCAAATTTTTACAACATTGGATATTCACTCGATTACTCATGTAGCGATTTCCTTATTTTGTTGCAATTCAAAAACGAACAACTGTAGATACATGAAAATTTCAGTGAATGTTTAAATTAGAATTTTCTATACACCATACAATTTTGAAAATATTTTGACTCTTTTTGAGCTGTTTATGAACATTTACAGCTTTCAATTTTTTTTAGTTTTTTTTTTCTATAAATATCAATATAGTTTTATCTGTTGTGCCAAAAAGTGTAAAAATTTAATACAAGGCTCCTGATATATTGTTACAATAGCAGTTGAAAAATATTAAAAATACATAGGCACAGTTTTTTTTTATAAGCATTTAAAGATCGAATTTTGACAAAATTTATCAAAATCTCGAAAATTATCAATCATTGTAATTAATAAATGATAAAATGTTCAGTTTTTATAGCTAAGGATTGCAAATTTAAAACAAAGGTTCTCATAAATAGTTCATACTGTAACCAAAAAATCTAAAAAATATATGAACACAGTTATTTTTTACAGACATTTTAAATTCAAATTTGGACAAAATTACATATTAAAAAACCTTGAATAACTATTTTAGTTATTTTGTTGTGATTGAATAATATTATTCGTGGGTACTTGAAGCTTCTAAAGTGTACTATTATATATCTATGATAGTATCACAGTTTTTGTTGATGTATAACGCGTTATAAGTATCTAATGGATATTGTGATATGATTAATTTGGAATTTATTATAGGTACCTATTATAGGTCAATTTTTTGTTTAATACCATAGATATGTATATAATATGTCTTATACATAGACTGACATACCGTCACCGCTCAGAATCGTTTTTCTTATACAATGATATTATATCATTGAATTCAAATTTAATACCATCCATTATACAGTGACCCACTTGTAACCTACTGAACAGCAGAGCGACACCCACTTGCCCACCTTTTTTATTTAACATTTTTCTTATTTTTACCTAAAGGTATTTTTTACATAGTCTTTTTTCATTTTTTTCATCATTTTTAAATACAACATATAAATTTTGTACATTTAAACTACCTATATAACATTATATTAAAACTGTAAACATTTAAAACAGGGGTTTGTATGTTGGGTACATGACCTTGCTTATTCGAATTCTAATTTGTATTCTTATCTCCAAAAGGGCATTCAACCGGATTGATCGTTGTTTCATAACATTCACCAATTTCCATTTGATAGTAAAAAAAGTAAAACAGATTATTGAAAATTGTATGATGATAAAATATTAAAATATAGATTATCGAACGATTTTAATAATTTTTTATAGTTTTTAAAACATTTTCTACTGTTTTTAAGTAATAAATATCATATCAGCTATAGTCACTAGGTACTCATCGGTAACATAAACATAATATTCTAATAATCTAATGAGAATTTTTATGTGAATATTATTTGTTTGAAGGAGGTACAAGTTTAATAATATCATGGTTACAACTAGATTAAGTTTATTACTCACTTTTCCAATTAATTAATTAATTTATATAATGGTACCTATAATATTTATATTTATACTCAAGTACTTTCCTATCATAATGATTCATTCCTATATCATTATAAATATTTAGGTACTTTTAAAAGGAAACTACTCTGTTAAGTGATTATCAGATTACGTTTGAGTGTTTTTTAGCTAATTATTTCTTCAATAAAATATCGTTAATTATTCATTTATGTTCATTTCACTTTTTTCCAACAAGACTTATAGTATTATAATTTTATGAAACAAAATGATTGTTACAAAGCATACTCTTCGACTTCTAGTAAATATTATTTTAAATTCCTTTTTTAAAATTTTAATTTTAATTTTAATTATGTTTGTAATCGTAGGTCGGAGTATTAGTCATTTATTGCTGTATTGAAACCACTGTCGGTGGATCAATTCGTGGTGTATTGAATCAGGACGAACCGGTAATTAAACTTAAAATACCTTTGCCGGGTTGCATGGACGATCACTAAACATTTAATGAATTAATAGAAACTAATGGTCCATCATTAAATGGACCGTGATTGGTCATTAAATTTAAATTGAACCATTACATAGACATACATACATTTATTAACATAGATTTTCCATGCAACCCGGCACTATCATAATATTATATTGTATATCATTGAAATAATTTGCTAGTTGCTACTATAATAATTTACTATTGGAAACCATTGTATTTTTGAGTATTAAATATAAATTAAAAAATATTTTTCAGATCAATAATAATTTACATTTTAATATTCTTATTTAACTACTTAAAATACCATTTATATGAGTATAATATGACTAGGTAGGTATTTATAATATTGGCATCTATTATTTTAAACAAATCTTTATACTAATTAAGTTATTTAATAAATGTATATTATAATAACCAACTAACCAGATTAGAATTCGATTTTCATAATAATATACTAACATCAATACAAAATATGAATATAATATGGGTTTAGATATTTAATTGCATACGCATGTACCAAAATAAAACCTGACACGTAAAACGTATTATGAGTTTATGACAATGATAACAATAGATAACAATGAAGGTGTTTCAGAAATAGGATGACTATATTATAATAATATTATGATCTATATGGCTATATGGTATATTGGTATTACTGTCATATTACAATGACAGTATTTTTATGCATAAGATGTTACTTAGGTACAACAGAATGAAAAATTACTTTTTACTTTTGTACGTATTTTTCCATATTTTCAATGTTTTTACTAATTTATTAATGTCACTGATTTTTGTTTTATACACCTCGTCACTCGATAGGTACAGTATCAAATACAATCACTCATCTATGTATATCACAAAATAGAATTATCAGTTATTTATCTTTCATAAGTTCGTAACACATTTTTAATGCACATTTGCTCTTAAAGAAATAATTGAATGTGTAGGTGTCAATTTAGAATATAATTATTGCGGCCAAAGATATAACCTTGAGATGAATTATTTAGTTTATATTGATGTTTGTGTAGTTATTTAGCAACAAGCTACCTACATTATCAAGTAGGTACTCAACTAGTTAATAATTTGTATGAGAAATTTTTTTTGTTGTTTTTCAAGAATAATTCTTATAGTTACCTATATACCAACAACATGCTGCATCGGCATACTTGTGCGTTAGCTGTATTGTATATCTATATACTCATAAATTGTACAGTGTGTAATATAAATGACTCAGGTCTTTCTGTTACACCCTGTAAATATTCCATGGCATTATTATTATTGTCAATTATATATGTATAAAAATATACAATATTTGTGAACAAAAGTTAATATATACATAACACTTTGTAACATTAAACAGCTATTCATGTTACAACATGTTTATAATATATTTTATTATTTTTATTATGTTAGGTAAGTATAGGTATATCATCGTAGTTAGTAGGTAGGTATATGCACATACTTATACGAAATAGAAGCGGAAATAATTGGTTGTTGTTTTTTTATAACTCGAATTCTGCTTATCCTCAAAATGTAAATTGAGTTTATTGATTATTCATTTCATAATAAGTTAATTTTAATTTTAATTCATAACAAGTTTATCCACAATCATCATTTAAATTGAAAATTTAACAGTTCTGCACCGAGTATTGTCCAAGGTAGTGTAAAACTAGATTGAAGAACAATTTTCAGTGTTAATATATTCATGGCCCGGTACCGACCTGATTGCGTTTATCCTCTACTTAGCGTGTTGGAGATACCTAATTATTTTATTTTTATACATAAATACTAAAAATTTAACAGTATGGTAATTGGTAAAACCGCTATATCTCATGCAGATAGGTAGTAAAACTGGTGTATATAAACAAAAACATTGTAACGGAAATACTATGAACATTTTACAATTACAACTGTAAGTGATAATAATTATTAAAAATAGTGGGTTAAATAAAAAAAAGATGGGTAAGGGGATGTCACTCTGCTGTACAGTAGGTTACAAGTGGGTCACTGTAACGGTGTTAAATTTGAATACCATTGTATAAGAAAAACGATTCTGAGCGAAAACGGTCAGTTAGCCTATGATATTACTAAGTACCTATATTTGATAATATTACTGTGAATAAAGTAATATATACATAACCTATTTAGGTGGAGCCTTGTTTTAAATTTTCAATCCTTAGCTATAAAAGTTGAACATTTTATACATTTTTAACTACAAAATAATTATTAAATTTTAAATTTGATAAATGTTGTCAAAATTCGACCTTAAATTCTTAAAAAAAAATCGTGCGTATGTATTTTTAATATTTTTCAACCTCTATTGTATTAATATATTAGGAGCCTTGTATTCAATTTTCACGCTTCTTTACCCAACAAATAAAATTTTAATTGATATTTATAGAAAAAAAAACTAAAAAAATTGAAAACTGACAATGTCAGTAAACAGCTCAAAACAAGTCAAAATATTTTCAAAATTTTACGGTGAATACAAAATCAAAATATAAACAATCAGTAAAATTTTCGTTTATCTAAACAATTATTCGTTTTTGAATAACAATTAAATAACAAAACCGCTACATGACAAATCTAGTGAATATCCAATATTGTAAAAATATGAACTTCAAACGCTCATAAAAATTTGATTTGATTTGTTTTGCTTGTAGACATTTTTTTTTTTTTTGATAAATTTAAACAAACTTATGAATAATCTTGTATTACATTTTCAAATCTTAGATTTAAAAAGAAAACTTTTTACGAATTCTTAACTCAAAATAATTTGCTAGTTTTCGTGTTTTTTCCGTATTTTTTCAATTTTGAACTTTAAATGTTTATAAAAAAAGTGTGAGTAAGGATTTTTAATATTTTTCAAATGTCATTATAGCAATATAGTAGGAGCCTTTTATTCAATTTTCAAGCTTTTTTACCCAACAAATAAAGTTTTAATGACATTCATGGAAAAAAAGACTAATAACATTGGAAACTGAAAATATTCCTAAACAGTTCAAAACAAATCAAAATATTTTGAAAATTGTATCATATATATAAATTGCAAATATAAACAACCTGTAAAAATGTCATGTATGTCATGTAATGTCATGTGCCATTTGTTTAAATGTTACACCAAAAACCAATGTCGATTTTGAGTAAAAATTCCCGTTTTTCCTTAATTTTTCTTTTGTTTTTCACTGGGTTTTTGAAAATTACTGGTAATTTTAAATTTTGTCGAACAATATTCAATTTCCCATTAAACAAGATACTGAAGTTGAAAACCGAAGCATTATTTCGACTAATTATCGTGCACACCGACACAAAAATAAAAATAAAATAAATAAAAAAAAACACACATCATTGTAAAATCTATACATTCATTGTTCCACTCAGAATCTAAAATTGTATTCATTAGGTATTAATAACAATCCTAAGTACATTACATAATTATTACGGTATACAGATTGTACCAGTGTACGCTGAGTGTACCACCATGTTGTTTACGAAAAACGCCTGAAACACAGATAAACGAGGAAACATGGTGGTCCTCATTGACTAAAACCAAAACTAATCAAATTTGTTTAACAACAGACTCCTTATACAACGTTATCTCCAAGTCAGACCGAGCAGAGCAGCGATCCCACAATGTCCGATACTACTGTCTCGCCAACAACAGTAAAGAAACACCATCTTCCTACAAGTATAATGCCGCATAAGAGAACAACGACAACTACTACAACTACAGAAATTCCTTCATAGATGGCTTACGGCCCTACGGTGGACTAAATATTGACTAAGATTTAAGATTGCTGCAAGACATCTACAATAATATAAAAACATTATGACAATACGTTACTATGAATTTATATAAATTAAACCAAATTGATTTTACTCAAAAATAAAATAAAAAATTCAATCCATAAAAAGTTATCCTACTTTCAGTACTTTGCCTTATTTCGTTGATCCAAAAATAGTTTAAAAACTTGCAGGACCAAATACACTGCATATCAATATTATGGTACAGTGTGTTTTTATAGGTTTCTATATCAAGAGGACGTGATACCCGAATGTGTTGTCTCCGTCTTACAAGTGCGTATAACATACCAAATTTATACTTGGAAGTTGTCCAAAGAAAAATCAGTTTTAAATACTCAACTTAAATATATATTATGGTTGAGATTTGATAGTTTGATACATGTATAGGCTACAGTACTCAATAGAAATTATACAAATTATACAATATTGAATGATAAATAAACTACAGTTAAGAACCTCGACAAGTCGATAACATTTAATTTCCCTTGATTTTTGACTTATCAAGGTTCCACTGAATAATATAAGCATCCAGAGCCCGATCTGATGATTTGGGAAGAGGAAAGGATTTCATAAAACTGTATATTATTAAACATGTTCTTATAGGATTTACGCTCTCCTATTAGATTTTGAGCGAAACGGGGAATGTACCTACCTATAATGTTTTTTTGAAATTATGTATACCAATCTGTGTTTTTTTTTTCTGTCATTCAGTTAGAAACAGGAAATTTTCTTCAATCTTCAACTGTGGTCTGTGGGTATAGATTAAAGTTGCTAATTTTATTTTATCAAAAAAGGAAAATCTAGGACTTTTATTAATAATCTGGAAAAAACTGTTGGAAAACGGAACTCGTGACACCGCTTTCTGCATGGTGATAACATAGATTTTGTAATTTTTTGTTGGAATTCACAATGGAATCATCGTAGAAATTTGAAATGATCATCATTAGAATCATTATAATTCCAGACATTACATAATTAAATAATTTTCAAAATATTTTTACTCTTGAGCTATTTATAGATATTTTAAATTTTTAGGTATTTTTGATATTTTTGATTTATTTTCTCGGCAAAAATAATAATTATCGTATAGAATAATTAAACAATACACAGTCTTTAGAAATAGTGCTGATTCGCCAATCTCCTTCGATCAAAACCATTTTCCAGTACACAATGCGGTTTATCATTGAATTATAATTTAAAACATCCATATAGTTACAGTAGATAAGTCAATGACTATATATACTTGGTTTTTAAAAATTATAATTTGAAACTAAACACAACATAATATATTATATTATAACATTCGATTATTTTGTAATCTTTTATACCTAATGCTACTAAATATATTTTTTATTACATATCACTATTTATTTGAGACTATTATTACTTATAACGATAAAGGTGTGTATTCTGTCATACTATCAACTTTATAATCCCTATAAAAAGTAGACTAATATTTAAAATGTATTATAAACACAAACTCGTCTACATTAAAATTGTCCTGGAACAACCAAAATAACATGTATGGTAAGATAAATAGACGTCTTACACAATAAATTGTATATACTATAAATATATATATTATAGATTCATAACAAAGCATTAAGTGTGCGTTAAAAAAAAAACAATTTTACACTAAATTGTTTTTAAGTAAAATTAAGTTAAAACCTAAAAATAAATAATCATCGCAAAATGTGTTGTAACATAGGATGGTCAATAATTGTTATCTTATTATTTATTTGTACAACTAAAGGGCGCCACTCCAAAACTGGGATGCATTAAAGTAATTACAGTTTATCATAATTCATAATACAGTCATAATTATCTGGTAAATAACAAATGTGATATTGTTATCTAAGTGTATTTCTCTGAAACCGTATACATTTGAACGATGATCTAAATTTACAAACACACTTCATAACACAGTTTATCGGTTTATCGTTTTATAAACGACTATACGACATAGCCACATGGGAAATATAACAATATTTTGTAAAGCGTTTTATAATAATTGATTAATACATAAGTATTTTCTCAGTAATTAAATGTCCATATTATTCAGTAATTCTATACAAATTGTACTACCTATATCGAACAATTTTCATGGACAACGATTGTCCATTAACCATTTGGTAAAATACGTTTTAACAATGTAACATGTAAGAACTTTTGAAGTTAAAGTTAACACAGAAATGAAAAATATTACGATATTATTCAAAACATTCCATAGCAATGGTTTAAAGACCTACAAGGATACTATGAACAACACGCACAGTTTTAATCGACCATAATTAATACTATTTATTATTATTACATATAAATATATATATTTGAATGGCACCCTCCAACGAGTATTTTCAGCAAAATGATGAAACATCTCACTAATAACGATTTTAGCAGATCATCTATTGTTTGTTCAGTGGTAGTAACCATTGTCTGCAAGTTCTTCATTGTCAATAATTGGTTTCCGGTCATCTTCGGTTTTCACTCGTTTTCTAGACTTGTTTATAGCTCCCCAAGGTGTCTTTCCCGCTTCAGAAGACGAAAGCAATACTGAATAAGATGTCACGTCATTTTCTTTGCTATGGTGCATTCCGTATAAGAAGTAAATCAAAAGACCTATAAATATTAGTTAAAAATATTAGCAAATATTATAAAATATTAAAATATTACACAAACGTACAAAGCGGTATTTTTAACTTACCTATAATCATCCATATGAAAAACCGTATCCAAGTAAGCAAATTAAGGTTAGTCATCAACACGATATTACATACAATGCTAAGCGATGGTATTAGAGGTACATGTGGTACCATAAATGGTAGCTCTGTTGAATTTTGTTCATGGGCTTCAATCAGAAATTGACCTGAAACACATAATTTTTGTAATTAATACATTATATTTGTTGTTGTTTTCAGAGCTGTTAAACCTATTTATTTTTTCGTAAATTAAAAATGTTTAAATACTAATGGAAATAATTGATATTTTTATAAATATATAAATATAAATACTAATATGTTAACAAACAAAATTAAAATGTATTTTTAAAAACCCTCTTACGGTTAAATAGTTTACTCTTTAATTATAATATATTGGGATGTGAATGATCTAAAATAATTATTAATGAAATATATATTATATATACTATACTCAGTATAATTTTTACCTAATATTATACAATATATGTATTATTATATAAATTATATTTTATCTATCTCATAGCTATCTATTTTATACGTACATAAAATTAAATCGGTGACCAACGCTGTTAATACAATTCCATCGATCCAACTCACATGTTGAATATTAAACCAGTATTGGATATAAACGCACAAGACGACGGTGGAACTTGTAAACCAACCAATACTTACACAAACTATGTAACCCGGTTCAAATTCTCCAAAAAACGGTTCTAGAAACTTATAGGATGGTTTTAAGCGTCCTCCCATGTCCATTTCAAAAGACTAAAAATAGTAAATCAATAATAGTAGGGTTAATTCATAACTATACTACATTATACCTAATGAATATATTAAAAACTTTATTATAATATGTGTATATGCTTACGTCTGCCTGTGAAGTAGGAAGTTCTAAGAGACTACTAGAATCCCGTACTAGACCACGATTGGTAGGGCGGTATCTTAATATTATTACTGAAGCACTGACAATAGTATAAGCTAACAATGTACCGATTGACATAAATTCAACTAATTTTTCCAAATCGAAAAATAAGGCTATCAATGCACACAAAAAGGCAGATATAGCTAAATTTATAATTGGTATCTGTAACATACGAATAGATGAACATTTTGATTAGGCAATATTATAAACATATAGTTATTTTTTACATATTTGTTACGATTATAATTTAATACAATAGACAAAATAGAATATGTTATTGAGCATACAAAGGATGAATCCATGCATGTGTTTTCTCCGTCTTCCAAACGTAAACCATATCAAATTAGAGTAGAGCAGAACCAATTTTTCGTTGTTAGCTCAATTGTCAGAGTGAAATAGTTAATTGACAGTATTATCAAACTTATGTAAGAATATTACCTATCTATGTGACTATGCTAGAATGTCAGCTTTTTCTGATATTTGAATTTATAAGCGAGATATGAGCATTTCAATTGTGATATTTGACTTGCTTATATGTTTTATTTATTTTAATGAGATTTTAACATATTATAATTTATAAACTATTATATTCTAAATATATATAACGATGGTAAATCGCTTAAAAATGAAATTATCGAAAAAAATCCGATGCTCAAGCAGCCTCAAGCACAGATATTTTTTTTACCTATAAGTTTTATGATAATATTCACTTAAATATGTAAGCTACCTAACAACAAAAAATTGGTTCTTCTAAATTCAAAAGTAATATGTCTCATGATTGTAAGATGGAGAAGACACGCATGATTTTGTATATATAAGCGTATGAATGATTTCATTTTTATCAAATTAATATCGATCGATGTTTGTATTTTATTAATAATCAGTTAAATGCTTAAACAATTATCATGTATATTATTTCTGTTGCCGACAACCCTTTGATCCTTTTTCTCAACGAATACTGCACCATATTAAATAATCCGCACACCAAACTATGCATTATTTCTTCCACTTTTAACATCGCCCAATCACTTTGCATTAAAATGCCTTATTTCGTAAAAAATGTCCATTGGTCAACATCTCCAATGTATTCGCAACTCACTACCACCATTGGCAACCGTGCCTAATGGATATACGCATCTAACCAACACATTTTTTCTTCAGGACGTAATCTCTTCTTCAAATGAATTTTCAGATATTTAATATTAAAACGAAATAAACAAACACCTGATAGAAAACGAAAAACAAGAAGTGCGAGATGACTGTATTTTGACTTCTAACATTGTATACAAAGAAGTACTGTAAATTAAAAACTACTTTTCTTTGGGGACTTTTATTACTTCAAATGTTGTATGCACCAAGTTGTGTACACACAAAAAATAATTTTTTCACAAACCTCACGAACATACTATATCATATATCACGTCTCTGTAATTGCACACAGTACTATAGCAGCGCACGGGCCAACTGGTAAATATATATATAATATTTCTATTAGGAGGTACCAATATTATACATTGTTTCAATTTATGTATGGTTATCAGCACTCTTTTAAATTAAAAATAATTATATTTTTATCATGTTATTATGCACACCTGAGTTTTTTTGTTGACTTTGGCTAGGAATTTAAAAACCAATCCATCATCGGCCATCGCATAAATACATCTAGGTAATGAATAAAGAGATCCAAACAAAGTAGTAGTCATTCCACATAATGCTCCGACTGATACTAAATACTTAATCCAGTTCAAGTCTAATCCAGCAAATGCCGCTGGGAATGCTGCATCGGGAACGATGGACCAGTATGGGACCAAGAATGTTAATGCTCCACTCACCAATACGTAGCCTGTAAATAAATCAACAAAATCAATATTAACCGAGAATAGCTATAAAACACTTTCTAGAAGTAAAATTTTAAATAGGATCAAAGCAATGAAAGAAAAGGTACCAAAGATAATATTATGTTATATAATTATTATTGTTCTGACAGCTACATATAGTATTTATAATATAATATTTTATTGAAACTTGGAAAGCATCATTAGTTCTCTATTAGTTAATAATATAATTTTATCAAAAATGTATGTTTTTAAATTATTATTATTTTTATTGATCCTTAAGCCCGGCATCTATGGCCATTAGCTGTTAGTAGGGTTGTATTGTGATGGTGGTAGGGTTTTGAAGTGGAAATATAGGCCATTGGGTGTGGGGATGGAACTGTCAGTTTTTATATTGGATAAGTTGGTACACGTGTGTGTATTGTTTCAGAATTTCTAATGGGGCACCCGTAGGTTTCTGCCATGCCCCGAGGGTGGGGGATTGCGGCACTTGTTCTCCGGACACCGTGACTTGCCCGAAGAAAAATGCCGCCCAGTGGCCGGGAATCGATCCGGCGACGGCTGCGTCGCAACCGACGCCTTAGACCGCTCGGCCACCTCGTCCCCCAATTATTATTTTATAATTGAATAAAACTAAACCTATTATTTATTAATTATTATATTATATATGGTACACACACGTGCGTAGGTATACAATTACATATACATATTACATGCAAATATTATATTATATTATATTATACCGTAATATATCCACAAAAACAGGGTACACTCTAAAACTCAGTTACTTATATATTAATCAGTACCCACCCTACACACATTTTTGAATTAATTTAACTCTTGTATTTCGCGCACACGCAACAACTTGACATTTTCTGTATGGTAGGTACCTTGTTTTCGTGCTGGCACACGGTATTATCTAAATAAATCGGGTACTATACCAAATGTTTGCAATACCAAATTGGTAAGCCAATACATACCTGTGCAAACGACGCTCATCGCAATTATCGTGGCCACTGGAATCGAATACGCCGGGTCCTTGGCTTCCTCGCCCGACGTGGCGATGCTGTCGAAGCCGACATACGCGTAGAAACAGGTGGCTGCCCCCGCGATAATACCAGTGGTGCCGTATGGCATGAACCCGCCGTCACTGGACCAATTATCGCTGTTTCCGTAATAATATCCAGCCACGACGATTACAGCCATTACGCCAAGGTTGACCAGCGTCAAGAAGCTATTCATGTACGACGAAGTTTTCACGCCAACACCTGCACCGATAAGATGATCCGATATTATTATTGTAGTAATTCCTTGCAATGACAGGGACTCGACACCACCAGCTAATGGCGCAAATTATAATAATCATAGATCGCCCTCCCTTAAAGAGAAAAAAAGGGTGGGAAAGTGGGTGTCGCTCTGCTGTACAGTAGGTTACAGGTGGGTCACTGTAATGGATAATGTTAAATTTGAGTTCAATGATCCATAATATCATTGTATAAGAAAAACGATTTTGAGCGAAGACGGTCAGTCAGCCTATGATATTACTAAGTCCCTAACTATATTTGATGATATTATTGTGAATAAAGTAATTTATATATAACATATTTACGTGGAAACTTGTTTTAAATTTTCAATCCTAGCTATAAAAGTTGAACATTCTATACATTTTTAACTACAAAATAATTATTACATTTTAAATTTGATACATTTTGTCAAAAATCAAACTTTAAAGTTTAAATGCTTATAAAAAAAAATTGGTCCTATGTATTTTTAATATTTTTCAACCACTATTGTAACAAATGTCAGGAGCATTGTATTCAATTTTCACGCATTTTGGCCCGACAAATAACATTTAATTAATATTTATAGTACAAAAAAACTAAAAAATGTAATTATGAAATTGTCCTTCAATGGCTCAAAACAAGGCAAAATATTTTCAAAATTGTTTGGTGTATAGGAAATGCTAATATAAACATTCAGTTCAATTTTTATGTATCTACAGTTACTCGTTTTTGAATTACAACAAAATAAGAAAATCGCTACATGAGATATCGAGTGAATATTCAATGTTGTAAAAATATTATTATAATATTTCTTTGATTTTTTTGTTTCGTGTATTATTTTCTAGGATTTGAATATTTTTTTTATGCAATAATCTATTTTATTACACTTTTATTATACCGGTAATAACAATTATTTATGTTTTAATTATAATATACCATTTACGTAAATACGTAATTGTGATATTACTGATATTAATATGAACTCTTTTAAAACTAAATTCTTTGTTTTCCAAATGAAATATTGTAACTTTACTTTGATAATACTGTAGTGTTATAAAGGTTATACGAAATATTTCGAACGCATGACCTTGAATTTCATTTGTGTTTTTTACTACATTAAAGACTTAATAATAGAGAATTAATATATAGGTACAAGTATTTTTGAACAATTTAAATTTTTAAGAACTATTTTCCACGTATGCTCAACAAAAAAATTTGTTTTTGAATTGTAATCCCCTTTTTGAGTTCGAATTACTTAATTTTTGATGTGAAAACATCTTATGTGGCGTTCAGACATTTCCGCTTGGGGAGTGAAATTTTTCGACTGTTATTTTAGCGTTCCCCTTTTCGCTTAACGCTAGCGCAGATGATGTGGTGATAGGTGAAGAATAGTAGCGACGAAACGATAGGCCGACTTGTGCTTCATTACCATCGCGAAAAACACCGAAAATTCTTTCGCCACTAACAGTCTAATTCGGACATCAGACTGGGCGTCAACCTTGAAGGTAGGTCGAGATCGGAATTCCTTGCCAAGCAAATTTTCTATGGAGGTAATATTTTCCAAATTTTTCGAAAAACACCGAAAATTCTTTTGCCACTAACAGACTAATTCGGATGTTGAATTCGATGTTGTTTTTAATTAAATTTGTTTGGAACTTTTATACAGGGTGTATCTTATGTCATTGTACGCGAATGTTTTTAACGGTTATGAATCGACGACATCGAATTTCGTTAAAACGAAAAAAGACGTGTTTCTTTATTTTTAACAGGCAATTTTTTTGTAACAATTTCTAAATGTTCAAACAAGCAAGTGTACCAATAGCAAAATAAACTTTATTTTTTCAAATGGTAACTACTATATTTTTTAATGGATTCCAATAAAGTTTTTTTTTCTGAAAATTTTGATAGTCAAATCATCAATTTTGGTTAGCTAGTTTATTAGCTATGGTCCTCTAAAGTTTAGTAAAATATGCATTAATACTTTTAATTGAAATAATTGGTATAGCGTCGTTCAAGGGAACAAACCTCCTATGTGAAAAAAGCGAAGTTTTCAGGAAACGCGAAAAACGTTTTAAATAAAGAAATCACATAGGAGTTATTTCGTTAACGATTTTTAGTTGGTAACACATAGGAGGATTTGTCTACGGGGAAGATAGCTGCACATAGGAGATATTTCATAAACGGTAAGTAGGTACCACATAGGAGAATTTATTTATTCTTTTTCATTAATTTTACGATGCAGATAGCACATAGGAGATTTTATCAATAAATGGCTAATTTTTTTCTGAATTCATGCCTACCAAAACTTCAAAATCATAAATTTGGTACATAGGATGTTTGTTCCCGTGAACGACGATAGGTTGAATTTACAAGAGCAAAAAATTTTTCTTAAAACTACCTTTTTATGCACTTAAGAAGTTTAATCAGTATTCTAATGACACTCTCAAAAAATAAAAACATAAACAAAATTGTTGGCGAACATAGTTCATTATTTTTGTTTTAACATTCAATCATTAAAATCAGTATTATTATTTTAATTTGTTATTATATGTAATCGTTAAATCGTAATTAAATACTTCACAGTTACTTTTCTTATACAATATCATAAATTTGGATTCTTTATTAGGTGGCTAAAGTAATAATGGTAAATTGGTAAATGGTATTCGATTGTTGACAATTATGTCTTAGGTATGGCCGTATGTGGGTTAAAAAAAATGTGTAATGAAGAAAGTGCAATGTTTTGTGGTGCTCTTCTCGTAGTAGGATAAACTTGAAATTTGAACCATATAGGTTCCCTATATTGTTAGGCATCACATTCAAAGTATGAGTTTAAGAGTTGAAATTCATAACCCTTCATAATTTTTGGTTCTGGACATTTACATTTTATTTCGTACTTTCCTATTTTAAATTATGATAATACTTTTCATACAACAGCATTAATTTGGATTCTTTATTAGGTGGCTAAGATAATACCTATTGATATTTGATTATTGTTATAATAATATTGGAAATCTGTAATTAAGTCAGATTAAAAGTATGCCAAAGTTATGTATACAAACCTATATTGAGATTGACTATTTATCTAAATATCTTGCAAATAGTTTATTTTAAATAACGATTATTAAAATAATTCTCACAAAATTTCAACTGTTAAATTCATACTTTGCATGCGATACATACTAATATAAGGAACTTATGGTTCAAATTTCAAATTATAAAAGTTAGTTATAAGAAAAAATTATTTAGCTCTTGTAAATTAAACCTTTACCAATTATTTCAATTAAAAGTATAAATGCATATTTTACTAAACCGGGGAGGACCATAGTTAATAAACTAGAGAACCAACATTTATGATTTGACTATCAAAATTTTCAGAAAAAAAAGCTTTACTAGAATCCATTAAAAAATATAGTAGTTACCATTTGAAAAAATAAAGTTGATTTTGCTAATGGTACACTTGCTTGTTTGAACATTTAGAAATTGTTACAAAAAAATTGCCTGTTAAAAATAAAGAAACACGTCTTTTTTCGTTTTAACGAAATTCGATGTCATCGATACATAATCGTTTAAACCCCGCCTACAATGCCATAAGATACACTCTGTATAATATATGTGTCATAATAAAACTATACTTCTAAGCTCATATATTATATTATATTATGTTTTCACATCTTCTGAGGGTCGCTTGAGACATAGACGTTTTTTTTAAAATTATCTTTGACTTGTAAAGTTTTTTCTATTTTAAAAATTGACTTACTGAAAGTGAGCCTGAAACGTTTTGATTTATGCATGTTGTATTTATCTTATTTCTAAAATTCTACAATGTTTCATGGAATTTCGTATATTTTTTTTTAAACTCAGGCGTCAGGCGTAGTGACATAATTAAAGCCAATTTACATTAATTTCACCAAATTATTAATAGACTGTTAAAAAATATGATAAATACAACATGCATAAATCAAAACTTTAGCTCACTCTCAGTAATTCAAGAATCAAAGGATAGAAAAATGATAGTAAGATAGAAAAAAACTTTATAAGTCAAAGATGCTTAAAAAAATAAACTAATTCAAATTTATACTCAAAGATGAGGGTTACAATTCAAAAAATTAATTTTTCAAAAAATAGTTGTAAGTACTTGTAACATTAAGTACTTTGTGCAATAAAAGAAACCCAAATTAAGTTCAAGGTCCCATGCATTCGAACTTCAAAATATTTCGTGCTACCTTTATCTTTGAACACACTGCATTATAGGCTATAAAAAATATTTAAGTACGGAGGTATATTATTACTTATAACTTATAAGTATTATACACATATTATTATTATATCAAAAAATCATTGGAGGTCATAATAGGATTAGGCTCTAATATATATGTATAAATAATCGGTGGGCCATTAGGATAATAACCCCCCCCCCCCCGATAACTTTACTTATTTGCGCCACTATTCAGCTCTATAACTATTGTAGTTCGTTAATAGCAGTAAAAAAAATAACGAAACAAAATGCGTCATAACGGTGATATCATTATGACGTATATGTACATAATGTTTCAACATTAGAATCTACTAAAATAATCGCCGGTTCTTATAATATTATTAAATTTAAAAACTAATAAGCAATAATTATAAAATGTATTATTTTCATCGTCTTTACATTTATCTCCAAAATGAAAAACAGATAAACAATATCCGATAAGCAATATTATGCTCCGTATAAGAAACGGATATTCGTTACTTACAATGTACAAAGTACATACTTCCAATTTTTTGGGTATAAGTACATCTGTATATATTCAACAGCGCATTAGTGCATCGTTATAGAGCAGAAAACAAATTTACCAAGAATTTGGTAACTACTTACTAGGTAGTCATTGTGATCAAAATACATTGAATGTATTTATACGAATATCAAAAGTAAAACTAAAACGAAAAAATTTGCTCTGCTGTACAGTAGGTTACAAGTGGGTCACTGTATAATGGATGGTATTAAACTTGAATTTAATGATATAATATCATTGTATAAGAAAAACGATTCTGAGCGGAGACGGTATGTCAGTATAGGTATAAGACATATTATATACTTATCTATGGTATTGAAAAAATTGACCTATAATAGGTATCTATAATAAATTCCAAATTAATCATATCACAATATCCATTAGGTACTTATAACGCTTTATACTTCAACAACAAACCCTGATACTATCATAGATATATAATAGTGTACTTTAGAAGTTTCAAGTACCCACGAATAATACTATACAATCACAACAAAATAACTAAAATAGTTATTCTAGGTTTTTTATTATGTAATTTCGTCCAAATTTGAACTTAAAATGAGCATAAAAATAAACTGTTTATATGTATTTTTAGATTTTTTGGTAACAGAATTAACTACTTACGTGGAATCTTGTTTTAAATTTTCAATCCTTAAATATAAAAGTTGAACATAATTGTTAACTACAAAATAATTATTCAATTTAAATTTGATAAATTTTGTCAACATTTCATATTTAATTAATGCTTTTAAAAAAAATTTTCAATATGTATTTTAAATATTTTTCAACTGATAACAATATATCAGGATCCTTGTATTAAATTTTTTCACTTTTTGGCCCAACAGATAATACTTTATTGATATTTATAGAAAAAAAAACTAAAAAAATTTAAAACTGCAAATATCCAATATCCAATGTTGTAAAAGTTTAATTTAACTTTCTTATAGACATTTTTTTTTTTGATAAAGGTAGATAATATTATAAGGAATCTTGTATTACATTTTAAAACCTTAGATTTAAAAATAAAAATTTTTACGAGTTCTTAACTCAAAATAATTTGCTAATTTTCGTGATTTTTCCATATTTTGTCAATTTTTGAACTTTAAATGCTTCTAAAAAAAACTGTGACCAAGGATTTTTAATATTTTTCATCTGCCTTTGAAACAATATAGTAGGCGCTTTCTATTAAATTTTCAAGCTTTTTTAACCAACAAATAAAATTTTATTAATATTTTTAGAAAAAAAGAACTAAAAAAAAATAGTTAAATGAAAATGTTCCTAAACAGTTCAAAACAAATCGTAATATTTTGAAAATTTCATCGTGTATAGAAATTGTAAATATAAACAACCAGTGAAAATTGCATGTGTATACATTTATTTGTTTTAGAGTTACACCGAAAACTAAAATCGATTTTGTGGAAAACAGATTTTGTGAAAAATTCCCGTTTTTCCTTAATTGTTATGTTGTTTTTCCAGGCGCTTGTGAAAACTATTGGGAGTTTTAAAATTTGACCTCCCGAATGCACCAACTAGATTCACTTTCCCATCAACAAGATGGGATTCATCATTAACAAAATGCTGTTGAAGAAAATCGAAGAAGTTTTACTGCCCCAAACCGTGATGACAGACACAAAAATAAAGAAAAAAACACACATCATTGTAAAATCAATACATTCATCGTTCCATTCAGAATCTAAAAGTAGTAGGTTTATAAACACAAAAATATTAAATAGTCATATAGATTATGTGTAAAACTATGTTGTGAAAAGTATTTGATTTTGAAATCCTTGAAATGAAAAAGGATATATAATAATATAATATATGTTCCAGTAAAAGCGAGTACCTATATTTTAACACTCACTAAATAAAGTAACTATAAATATTAAATAAGTATTATATTATGATATAATATAAGTTAAAGTCTATGAATTCGACGTTTTGCCCATCCCAAGACAGGTGATAACTATAAGGTGATCTGCTCATTAGCCAGTAAGTGGTTTTACTTACCTAGGATACACGCGTGCAGCAAGCACACGAAAAATGCAAAAACGTCCGGATACTTTCCAAACAGAGTTTCGTGAAGTTCACCCAAAACGGATATCGTTGTGTTTCTGATAACGTTGTCAAACATCGAATCGAAGAACCCGCTCCATGCTCTAGCTACAGAGGCGGCACCTGTTAATTAAAAATGCAAAACGAATTATATAATATTATTATTATATATTATTTTCATAAAGGTATGTGCAGGTACATTTCAATTTATTAAGTAGGTATTGCCGTATTTTGACGATTCACCAACCATTCTCGTGATTTTTTCCTTTAATAATGAATTTAGATGATATTATGAATACCATACTTAAGAACTATATTTCCAAATCGTATTCATGTTTTTATTTAAAAAATGTCCTGTATTGATACCAACTTCTTTTTTTCGAATAAGACTCGCTATTTTTTTTTGTAAATTTTTAACCACATGACTTTTTGAGAATGTTGATGTATCTATAGCTGGCATCTAAATTTTTAATTTAAACAAGTAGTTTTTAATTTATTTAACTATTTGGGTACAACGGATCTTAAGTCCATTATAACGGGTCTGGAAAATATGGGGCTATGATGATTAGAACATTTTAGTAATTAGTATTAATCTAATAAATACTAGATCCAAAATATTACATACATTTTGTATTTTTGTTTAACCATTTTTAAGGACTATAATTATTATTCTTAGTAGTTAGTACCTACACCTATACTAGTGAGTACTACTATTTTAGTTTAATAACTCTAAAACTATTCGATTGAATGTTTATTTAGATTCATACAAATTTAAAAATAATTATCTGTATCACAATTTACAGTAAAAAAGTTTTATTCTCGTTTAGAAAAAAAAAGTTTGTTGGACACTCTTTAATGGTATACAACATCATATAAATAAATAAATTCATTAAATTTAAGTAAAAAATGAGGGTGAGCATGCTTGGTGAATCAACCTGTATATAATAGCCATATAGGTGCAATAAAATAAATATTGAATATATATATATATATATATATATATATATATATATATATATATATATATATATATATTATAGGCGATTAATCTCAACCGAGTTCAAAGTCCACAGAGCTCTAAGCAAAACTAAGTAAAATTGTATTAACACGTGATTGTATAGTGTATAAGTATATATTTTGTTAATACCTACCTATTAATCTATTATATATAGTAAACTCGTTGAAAAACTCACTACTCTCTGCAGTCTATATACACTAGACATATTATAGGATTCCGAAAATTAATTTTAATGCGTCATAAACAGTTATTAATACCTAGATTTAAACCTATTTGAAAAGTAGTAAAATAATTAACATAGATTTATGGTTTCCGTCAATAATTTAACGGTAAATCACCATTGGCACCTATTTAGGTTGGGTGAAATGGGTAAGAATCAATTATCCTGCATGAAAAGCTCACAATCAGATATATTTCTACTACATAAAAATTAAAAAATGGTTCCAATGACGCCAAGTAAATTCTCAAAACAGTTGATACATAAAATATGGCCAAAGACATAAGTACAAAAACAATACTATCCTCACCGATCATCAAGCACACTAAAAATTTTAGAATTTAGAACTACACAACAAATATTGCAAGACAGATATACGAACAAAAACAATACAAACACAAACCACGGGAATAAACATAAAACATTTTTTTGGATTTCCACATATCACAGATATTATCAAAGGTATAAAATTACTTAAACTGCACCTATAGCTTTTACAGCTTTAACTATTATTATTTTAAAAAGTAAGTTAACGGGAATATGTAAGTCAATCTAACCAGTTTTCAACAAAATCAATTTTGTTTTTTTATTGTTATTCTAAAAAAAACCCGTAGATGGACAGGTACATGCAATTTACACAAAATATTTATATCAAATTTTTCTAAACATGGTCTAATTTTTAAAATATTTTGGAACTTTTTGAGTTATTTATAGGCATTTGTAATTTTAGATTATTCTTTGTATTTTTTCGATTTATGTTAATTCATATTTTTAGGCAAAAAGCTTAAAAGTCTTATGTACAATGTTTCTCATTAATTGTATAAATAGATTATTAATTCATCTGTTAGGTATATTAATTTAACAAGATATTTAAAAACAAACAATGTTTTTATCTGCAGTTGCCAGTCTATAATTTCTTAGTTCGTTGTTTTTATACACAATGTCTATTTTATTTTTACACAATTTATAAATTTTACTTTGTATGAGCGGTGCTGCGGCCCTCTTGTGTAGATTATCAATAAGTGATATTAGATAGATAAATACCGAACATATTGATAAAACATTTGTATTTATAATCAATGATAATAGTGGTATATTTTATGTAATATGTATAGGTGACTTTCACAGTAAGCATTGAACGTCGGTATTTAAACTAGTCAACATATATTATACATATACAATCGGTACTATTTAAGTTTGGTTGTGTTTTACTGAAATTTCGTATGAAATTTAATTATTAAAAAATCATGGCAAATGAATGTTAAGTATTTATTTATATTTTATAAAAAAAAATTAATATACTTCTACATGACATGAGACTCGATCATAATATGACCCATTACAATTGTTAGAAAGGGTGACGATATCGCAGGTTCATAATATTTATGAAAATAACAAAGAATTATAGGCACAAACTAGTAGGTACCTATTAAAATATGTGTTGCATGCGTCTCTGTCAGAGATATAATGCCAAAATATAATAATTGTATGGTGAACTGTTTTAATTGGCTTAACACAATTTCCGTTAGGTGAATATAAAAATAAAGTTGTTCAAGCACAAGTTATAAAATATGTAAATGACGTCGTTCTAATCATATTAGTCTAGTTTCTAGGAATCTGTGATCCGTAACATAAATTATGAAAATTTTTACCAAATATGCTAAACAAATATACCTACGAATACATTAGGTATATAATAATATTTCAAAAAGTAAAATTAAATCTAGTTTATTAATTTAAAAAAATGTTCATATAAAGGTATATTCCGAGTTCTGATTTTTTATTCATTGTTGTTCAAAGTAACAAATGTGAAAGAACTCCTTTGTAATTCATCGATATTTAATAATATCAAAAACTTTTTTTCGGAAAACACATTTTTTTCGTATCCTGTAGAGATAATTAAATTTATAATGATTAATGAATAATAATTTTATAATTCATTTTATAGCATCGATAGTCGATAAGATATTTGCCGGTGTAATTAAACAGTTAATAGGTCCTACCTATATCAATATATTATTAAATTTTTTCATATTTGTATTAGGTACTATCCCTATATGACTTGTATCTCATAATACTTATCGGAATATTAATTCATGTATGCTTAAATTTAAGTAAAACTATTTTTACTATTATTTTATATTCTGAGTGAGGAGTGATTATTTATTGATTACGCAAATTTTCAAATTATTTTTTAGTTAAAAATGTTTATGGTGTTCAATTTTTATAGTTATGGCTTGATAATGTAATACAAAATCCATCATAACTAGTTCATACTTGGTAGTATACTAATCTAAAATATGTCTATAAATAGTTCAAAAAGAGTCGTCATATTTCGAAATTCATAATATCATGGATTTAAAATGCAAAAAATATTTTTTAATATTTTTTAACTACAACGAATTAATTAAAATCGCTATTATTCGTTAAAATATAGAATTTCGTCCAATTTTGATCTTTAAAAAATAAATATCTGAAAAAATTAAGTTTATATATTTTAGATTCTGAGCAAAGCGATTTGTGCATGTGTTTATTTATTTTTAATTTTTTTATTGTGTCTATGTGCCAACACTAAAAGTAGGTAGTCGGAAAAATGCTTTGATTTTAAACTTGAAGAGTGGTTTCTCTAGAGAATTGGATCTAGTTGGTACTGTAGAGTGGTCAAAATCGAAAATTTCCAGTAGTTTTCAAAAGCTTCGAGAAAATAAAAATAAGCCATACCACGCTACTCAATATTTTTCCTCTACAAAGAAAATTTATGAATCATAAAATAAATATGCTTTTGTTAATAAGCAACCATGATAACAAAAACGTATATTTTGCAAAATTGTTTAGAAAAATAAAATATCTGTACCCAGCTCAAAATCATATTTATGTTAACAAAAAACAAATTGAAAAATTGCCTCATCACAGAGTAGTTTTTCATATGATTGATCATTGAATACAGATTTAACATAATATATTTAATATTCATTTAAATAATTACATTTTTTTTTTTTAAGTCAAAGAAATAAATAAAAAATCGATAGGCTTAAGTAAGCCCTTAAAAATATAATTTTCTATAATGTTCGTAATTGGTGTCTGGTGATGATTGAAAAATGAATAACTGAAAAATCGTTAGAATGATCTTACGCGAAAGTGTCTTTGGTGTCTGAGAGAAAATAAATATTGCGCTGACATTATCTTAACTTGGTTTATTATATTGTTGATTTAAAAATGAAAAAATAAGAAAAAATTTATTCCGGTACCGGGAATCGAACCCGAGCCTCCTGGGTGAAAGCCAGGTATCCTAGCCACTAGACCATACCGGATTGGTGAAAAAATTGTACAATTTAATTATATTTATAGATGTTATGTTGATACTAATATAAAATTATTTATTTCCTAGATTTTGTCTCTAATTTGAATATTTGATAGTTTTATATTTCGTGCAATCATACCTAATATACCATTAATAATATGTAGCAGGTGTCCATTACTTATCAAAGTGTATTGAAATAACAAGGAATTATTGGTTTTACGATTATGTGTTTTGTTTACATTGTAGATATCTTTATCTTTTTAGAACTGGAAAATTACTTTATTTGTTCAATTCAATTTTATAAGATGTTGGAAATAGGACTAGGTAATTTGAAATGACTACAGACACATATTTGTTTAAAATAAATAATAAGGTGTAACTATTCAAATTGAGGCCCGTGAAAAATGTATATATATTTTTTTTTATTTGGTCCTTGATATTAAAAAGGTTGCCGACCCCCTAATCTACAAAATAATGGACTTCAAGCTTCTATACCCATAATGTCAATACAAATAAATGCGATAAACCTATGTAAAAGCATAT